AACACGACTCACACAAATACATAATGCACACATGTCCAGATTTTATTAAATTCATTAATGAGATTTGTACAATGTTACAACAAAATTTTGAAGAGACTTTTTTGAAATAACCCATCAGCCACAGGAGTGTTGAAAAGAGATTGCTAACAGATGGAAGTTGAGTTGGGCTCTAAACTGCGATTCTGAGGTAATGTTTTCTACTTTGGAGTGTTTTTCTTCCAGAGAAATCAGGTGCATCTCTCAATAAATTTTATTTATATTGCTATAAACAGGAACCTTTGGCCTTGCTCTCAGACAGAACCCATTTGCATTACTATCCGTGTTCTACCCCTACAAACCTGTAACATAGCTAAGTCCATAGTGAAACAGGGACCGTGGGTGTAGTCAGAGCAGGATGAGGGCCTCCGGAAAAAGCAAGGCAAGGTATTTGCAGTCAGAACAATATAACTACATGCAAGGAAACCCCCCCTACTAAAACTCTATCTTGAACATTAAGCTCTAGTCATTTTTCAGTGAGATCAGGTAATGTTCCCCAGATAAAGAAGAGTAGCACATGTTTTATTATGCTGCTAATCATTTATAATCATGTGTAAGATTCACTTAAGCATACTAAAAGGCCCAGGCCTACGTGCTGTCTTTCCTCCTTCAGATCTGACAAGGTGATTTTGCAAACTGAGCAACTAACTTAGCCTGCAGACCCAGCTGTAAACGACATGGTAAAAGGCAGGAAGAATTCCATCTTAAAGATAAGATTGCATTTTAACACCCAGGAAGTTCAAGAGGCAGGATTTTTTAGCAAATAGACAATACCTCAGTCCACCTTGGGGGCTGGGCAGGCAGCCTTTTGATGTGCTCCCAGACCAAGACGCCAGTGTCCCAGAGAGAAATCAAGGCAGGAAATTCCTTGTGTTATTTTTTGATATTCAGGAACCACTTAACAAGTCCACACCCCTAGTTTTTTTTCACTTTCCCAAATATCCTCAACTGCCTATAAAACCCCCTAGACAACACACCAGTATGGACTCTCTTGTCCCCTCCTGGCGTGAGCTGGGAGCTCTGTCCTTTCACTTTATCTCTAAATTAAAGCCTGTACCTTGCTCTCCTACCTTGAGTGTTTATGAAGCTCATTCTTCAGCTTCATGAACAAGAGCCCCGGCATCAATAGCACTCAGCCACAGGTGCACATGGAATCAGACAATCCCTAAAGGGTCTGCTAGACAATGTGAAACATTCCACTGTAAGAACACCTAGTGTCCAAGAGAAGCAGAGCCAGAGAATAATTAAAGCGATAAAAACAGATTTTATTCAGGAACTATTTTTGCAATAGGGTAAGAGACTATATAGAAATGGGTTCAATTCCAAATACAGCAAGGATAAGTGGAGAGTTTGCTGGGGGAGGTGGATTATAGCCAAGGGTGGGGGGTGGGAATCGATGGAAAATGACTAAGAAGAGACATCAAGAGTAGGGAGATTCTTGCCAAACTGACCTAACAGGATTTCAACTGAAGGCAGGCAAGGATCATCAGATATCACTTGGGGGACAGTGAGGGATGATCAAATATGGCAGGTGATCAGATATCAAGGGTGGGGTACTCTTGCTACTGACCTAGCAAGATTCTTATTAAAACTAGACTCTGCAAAGATGGAAGTGCAAGGCCAAGGCCTAGCTGAACAGGGGGCTCAGAAGACCCTGGCTAAAGTTCAGTCAAGAAATTAGTCATTGTAACTAGTAATCTGTTAGATACACGATCAAAAAAACACAAAACACTTTTGTGCATCAAGGACATTACAAAAAAAGTACAAAGACAACCTGCAGAATGGGAGAAGATATTTGCAAGTCATATAGCTAGTAAAGGTGTAGCATCCAGAATATATAAAGAACTCTTACAACTGTTTTTTTTTTTTTAATGGGCAAAAGAATAGACATTTCTTCAAAGAAGATACACAAATAGCCAACAGGGCATGAAAAGATATGTCTTTAGGGAAATGCAAATCAAAACCACAATGAAGCACTACTTCACTGGCTATAATAAAAAAAACAGGAGAAATTAGAAACTCTACACATTGCTGGGGAGAATATAAAATGATCCAGCCGCCTTGGAAAATAGATTGTCAGTTCCTCATTCCTAGGTATATACCCCAAAGAATTGAACACAGGTACTTAAGCACCTGTACACTCAATGTTTATAGGAGCACTGTTCACAATAGCTAAAGTAACCCAAATGTCTATCAATGGACAAATTGTGTTATATCCATACAATGGAATGAAGTATTGATACATGCTACAATATGGACACATACTTAATGTGTGTGCTAAGCAAGGTAAGTCACACACAACAAACATGTCCACTTTCACTACTGTTATTCAGTATTGTACTAAGAAGCCATCAGACAAGAAGAGATTTAGAGCCAAATCCAAGGTCATGAAAATTTGCCCATAATTTTTCCCAATAGTTTTATGATTTTCAGCTCTTTTATTTGGGTCATTTATTCATTTTGGGTTGTTTTTTTTGTGTGTGTGGAATGAAGGATCCAATCCCATTATTTGCATGTGAATATCGAGTTGTCCTATTCCATTTGTTGAAGAGACTATTGTTCTTTTTCTCCAAGTTTTGGATATTTGAGGGCCCTTGCAATTGCAATTCCAGATGCATTTGAAGATTAGCTTTTCATTTCTGGAAAAATAAAATAAAAAGGCCATGGAATTTTGTTAAAGATTGCACTGACTCTATTTATCATTTTGGTGGTATTGATTCTTAATATTAAGTGTTCCAGTCTATGAACATGGGATATTTTTCCATTTACTTAGTTCTTTCATTTCAGCAATGTTTTGCAGTCTTCAATGTACACGTCTTTAACCATCTTGGTTAAACTTATGCGTAAGTATTTTTTTTTTTTATTAGCTCTAGGTTTGTTTTTTTTTGGTGTATTCTTTGAAACTTTTTCTGTATAGGACAATCATGTCATCTATGACTAGAGATAGTTCTACTTCCTTTCTAATTTGGATGCCTTCTGTTTCTTTTTCTTGTCTAGTGGCTTTGGCTAGAACTTGTTAGCACAATCTTGAATAACAGTGGTGAAACTGGACATATTTATCTTCCTCTGTGAGCAGAGGGAAAGCTTTCAATTTTTCCCTATCAATTGTGATGTTAGCTATTTTCCATACATGCCCTTTTTCATGTTATTACATGCCCTCATTTTTCATTTGCATTTTTAAATGCATAAGACAAAAGACATAGGCATACAAAGGAAACTAATTATGTTGAAATTGTTACCAAAATAGTAAAATTAATTTGACATAGTGTGCTCATTAACATATTACAAGATATAGTAGCATTTTGAATTAGTGCTAAGTATCCATAATGCATTACATGCAACAACTGTGTAATATGACTGTTTACAACTGACAGGGCATGGTGGTAATAAAAAGTACACTGACTTATTTGGCTTTATTTTTGTATTTAAATTCCTTACAGGCTCTGCCTCTGGCTCTAGCTCTGCTGGGCTGCCCTCTTGCTCAGTTTCACTTCCTGTATGTATTTGCACATGTACCAGATAACAGTGCCCTTGCACTTGTGTTAAGGGGTCTTCTTACCTTGTTGTTTGTTACAAAGAGTTGGGCTGAAGGGAAAAGATGGGCAAGAAGTGGGGTCAGGCAGAGGAAGAAGTGGTGCCAGACAAGGGCAGGTTGGGGGTTGTAGGATGAAGGATGGATAGTAATGAAGAGGAGTTTGGATGGAGTCATCTGATTTGGGTTTAGAGGGGCTTTTTTTCCTGCTCCCAGACCTTTTGTCCCATGTCTTCTTAGTGCCTCAGAGCTCTTCCCTCAAACTTCCCAGTTGTTTCTCTGCAGTTCTAGCCTCCTCCAAGACAAACTGAACTTTGATAGTTCAGCAAGGCCCAAACCCTCAGCTCGTCACAGCCTCGGAGATCCTGGGGCACGTGCATCATCCCACCTGCCATCTCCTAATCTCCAGGATAATGTTAGCAGGGGTTGGAGACTACAGTCTAGATGCTTGGTTTATGAGGTTTACAGTAGCCTCTACAAAGCCTTCCAGTGTTCTGCCATGCCTGCTCCTCTCTCCATGTTGGATTGCAGTGGTGTGTGTGGCAAGGGAGAGGGCTCTCCTCCAAGTCTGCTATCACTTTAAATAAAGTCACCTCATTTCTCTCCAGTGATTTTCTTCTGTGCCCCTTGAACACCATCCACATTATGTTACCAAGCAACTTTTAGATTCATCTCCTTCTCCATGTCCACCCAGATCTCAGTTCTGCTTTCTGGTTGGAAATGACTGCCTTCAGGATACCAAGACTTCAATTAATAAACTTGAAATACAGGGTTTTGTAGTCATCAATAGATGTAGCAGCCAGACTTGGTTTTTCCTGGTGGAGAGGGCTGAGGGGCAGGCATCTGTGTTGCGCATCATGCTGGGTATCTTCACAGTACAAGGAGGGTTGTCATAACCAGAGGCAGACCTTACAACAAAAGTTCTTCCCAAAACATATCTTCACTTACTACACACTTTCCTCACCTTATTTTGTGGCTGGCACTATTAGTAGACTACGTCATTTCCTCCTTTCCCAGGCCTGAATAGGCCTATGGGAGGGACACTGATGGGGACCATTAGCTACAGCAAGCTCTCAGCTCCTGGGATTCTTAGAGATGCTTTGTGATCAAGTCCTGTACATTTAGCATCTTTGATAGGATTTTGGCCTAGGAGAAAAGGGATGGTCTGGTTAGCCTGTGTATGAGTGCAGGAAAAAGCCTAAAGGGCATCAAGGTTGACGAGGCATGAAGCCCAACGCTGATCCAGCAGACTGCAGGCTCAGGGCTCCACATGGAACATTTAACCACAAGCTGCTTTAGGTGCTCCTGTTGAGAGTAAACTCACAATGATGGAATTCTACCCACGTTTCTCAGTTCTCACTGGTGGAAGGGGCTTCAGTTCTCACCAGTTGGATGGGCAATCTGGGGAGGGCAAGATTCAGAGGTCCTGGTAATGAAAAACAAACAGAAATGGTTCATTTGGGGATCTACCCAAATATAGCCTGGCCGAGTGGAGTTACCAGACCAGGAGGGGAATGTGACAAGAACATAATCAGGAGAAAGTTGGTAGCTCATAAGTTTTGCATTAGAAGCCTGGTGCTGGAGGAATGGCAGTAGATGATTAGCTGGATCCATTTTTTGGCCCAAAACTTTCTAGGTGTAGAGGAACAAAGGTAAACGAATCAAGCAACAAAGGGAAGACAAAAGGAAAGAAAAAGGGGGCATGATATATGCAACGAGGGCCAGAAAGGAGGAAAAGGGCAGGTGAAAATAAAACAGAAAAAAGGCAGTAAATGTAGAGGATAAAGGATAGCACAGAGCAGAGGAAAATAAACAGGAAGAGGAGCAGAAAGAGACAGGCAATGGGGAATTCTAGATGAGTCCTGGCTCACCAGGATGTAGCAGGAGCACATGCTGGGGGCCTGTGCGGGGAGAGGGCCCTCTCCCGCTCTGCAGCTCCCATCCCAGGCTCCCGTTCGCCTAGAAACCCTGGTGTGCAGATCACTGGTGTTTTCTTAGCACTTCGTACTGCGCCTCCGGCGTCACCTCTAGTCTCTTCACTGGGACGCACACAGGTGCCGCCGCAGCCCGACGCAGGAGGACTGGAGAAACACCGAGCCGAGGAAGGCGTGAGGGCGGGGCGGCGGGGAGCAGAGGGGGCACTCCCTCCAGCCGCACGACCTCTTTCCGCTCTCCACACCCACCCCGTCCAGTGATGCCCACCAGGCACAGCGGCACCCAGGAAGCCACAGCAGGTTTCCCTTCATGCGTTCATGCTCGTCTTCGCGGGGCAAGGGACAGGCGTGGTCCCGGCGCCCTGACCCAACCTCCCCGGTCTGCTGGCCGCCTCCTGCTGTACGCCCACGGCTTCCCTGCCTTTCCCGGGTCTCCTCCCACCTCGGCCTTCGCTCTGGAGAGAACCTTCGTTCCCTCGCAGGGCCCAGATGCACGATCTCCGCTGCAGCCAGGAAGACAACCCATGTGCAGAGCCGCGACTGTCCGCAAGCACTCTGTGGCCAGGCGGGTCGGCGACGCCACGCAGGAAGCGCGCCTCGGACAGCGCAGCGCCGGCCGCCGGGCAGCCACACGCCAGGAGAGGCACGCGGGCCGCGAGGCGCAGCTACGAGTGTGGTGCGGATCCCCGCGCGCGAGCTGACTGAACAGGTGCTTCTCCACCTCGTGAAACACGACCTCCACGTCGCTGGGCTGCCGTCGTCTCACTACCTGGAACACCACACCGCAGCATGACCCCCTTCCCGTCAGCCCTCCGAATCCAGCCTCACGAGCGTCCTTTATAGACCGCTCCGCCCCGCCCACCCGTGTCGTCACTGTCTCTGGAGGCTGCGGTGTGAGGTTCAGTATGCTGACTGCCCGCGGAGCACTCCTTTTCCGCTGCAAGGGAACCTTCTCTGGGTTTCAGAGAACAGGGCCCATTCCAACGCTGTAGCAGTTTGACTCTTCCCTCTGGATCCAGGGTTGTGAAACGTGGTTTTCCTATTTGGAGAAGAGATACCGAGAGTTCAGAGGGTTCAGCAATATTATTAGACGGAGGTTTTCCCAAGGAAGATAAAGAGAATGGGGATAGGGTGCCATGTAGAGTGCAGGAAAAATAAATGTCATGAGGATAGATGTGACGTCCTCCATAGCGACCCCTGAAGCTAGTCACAGTTGTCCAGGGGACACTTGAGAACTGCACATCCGGGGGCAGGAAAGGCAATTTCACCAGGTCGTGAGCTCTGTGCTACTCAACAGGGGTAAAGCCATGAAAAAGCTGAGATTCCATCTTAGCCTTTGCTGACAGGGTGATAAAACGGCGTTGTGCCCAAAGTCACGAATCCCAGAAGACCACCAAGGAGCCAACACCAGTGTAAAAGCAAAGAGCCTTTATTCGAGCTAGCTCGAGCTCAATCTCTCTACACCAACGCAGTGGCAAGATGCCAGAGAAAGAGAGCGAGTTTCAATACCACAAAGGTTTTATGGGGTTCTAGGGCAGTTGGTGGGGTGATGGTCATGCCTCTAGCTGATTGGCTGGATCTAGGGATAGTTGGTGGGGTGATAGGTCTTGGCTCTGGTCAATTGGCAGGGTCTAAGGGTGGTGGGTGAGCTCTTCGCTGACTGGAGAGGAGAGAGACCAAGCTCCGATTGGGTGAAATAGGATCCAGGTCCTGATTGGCTGAGGTAGGATCCGGGTCCCAATAGACTGAAATAGAATCTGGGAGCTTGCCCTTTCAATGGAACTAAGTCTCAGACTGGGCCTAGGAAGCACTGAAGAAAGAGAACCAACACAGAGACTCCTCGGCTCCCTGACGAAGGAATTAGCACTCCCCTCAGGGTGAAGGAGGTGCTGGGACTGTTTGAGGGGTCGGCTCATCCTCTTGAAGAGAAGCTGAAAGGAAAGAAGGGTCTCTCTGGAGAGGGTTATTGGAGGGTTAAGGAGTTTTATTAACTTGAACAGTGTCCAACCAGGAGTATTCTTGGGTCTCAAAGCGAATAAAGGGTTTTTTATTATCTAAGCATAGCTAGGACTATGGAACCTGCTTGTGATTTCATCCACAGGTTAGAGGAGCTGGGATTTTGCAAGTGACTATTAAGGGACCATGAGGCAGTTTTCTGTCTGTCCCCCATGGAATCCTGCTCTTTTCATGTAAGGGTTAGACCTTCATTAATGCGTAAAGTGTTTGGAACAAGGTAGGTGGTCTTCCTAACTTATACTAGGCAGACAAGTCATGGGCACCACAAATCAAGAAGGCACTTGGAGTAGGCCATACGGGGCTTCCTCTAAGGGGAGCTCATGATTGCACACCATGTCATTTGGGCTGCTTAGGACACAGGACCAGCCCAGAATAGCCAACGCCATCATATACTAACAACGAATAAACAGGCAAGTCGCTAAAATGATTGCAGAGAATGATGAGTGCTGTGAAAGAGACAGAATTGGGCACAGTGCGGCAGAGAAGCACAAAGATGATCTTTCTGAACAGGTGATCTTGGAGCTGAGATTTACATAGGAAGAAACAACCGCATTAAGAGCTGGGGTGGGGGAGTGGGGAGCATTCCCGAGAGAAGGAATTCCCTCCAACACAGAGGCACCCTTGAGAAAGAGCGAGAAGGTGGGAGTAACTAGGACAGAGTGGACAAAGTGAGGACAGGAAGGGGAGGAGGCCAGAGAAGCAAGCCCAGGCCAGATCGCACAGGGCCACTAGGTCTCCAAGGCTTTAAGCAGGAGATTTGCTCTTTGTGGTTACTCTCCCTGTGAGGTTAAGACTGGAAGTAGTAAGATCAATGAGGAGTTAGCCACAGACCGGAAGAAAGAGGATGGCCATCTGGTAGGCTGAAAAAGTGCCTCTGATGGTGTTCATGTCATAATCCCCAGAACCTCATCTGGCAACAACTTCACTGATGTGACTGTTTTAGAGCATCAAGACAGGGAGATTATTTGCATTGTCCACGTGGGCCCCAAATGCCATCACGAGCATCCTTTCTCATAAGCAGTAGAAGGAAATTTGACGCAGGCAAAAGAGGAGAAGGCAGTGTGGCCAGGGAGACATTTGGAGTGATGGAGCCACAAGTCAGGGAACCCTGACCACCATTAGAAGCTACAAGAAGCAAGGAAAGGACTCCCCCCAGATCCCTCATGGAGAGCACCACCCTGCCGACACCTTGATTACTAAGACTTCTGTCCTCCAGACTGAGAGAATAAATTCTGGTTGTTTTCAACCACTAAGGTGATGGCGATTTATTGTGGAAACGACAGACACTGACATAGGTGGTTTGGAGAAGGGTTTTAGAAGTGGAGAAGGCCAGAAGTGATTGGATTTAAGACATATTTTGGGAGATAGTGTTTTTACGGGTTGAGTTTGTTCCCCTCGGTTCTTGTCCCCCACCCTCCAACAACGAATTGAAGGACAGAGACACAGTAGCCAAGCAGAGTGAAATTTTATTTGAATCCATTCCAAAGGAGGAGCTGGCCAGAGTTAAGGTACACAAAGGCCCTGAACTGTTAAGGGAGGGTCTATTCATCACCACCTGGCTGGGGGTTACTTCTCTTGATTGACAGGGTGAGGTCATTTGCTGGACAGCTCTAGTTAACACACCAGTTCCTCTTGGGCGCATGGTCTTTTCCCAAAATGCACACAGAAAAAACAAAAGAGCAATTTTATTTTAATGAGATTATGAGGTATGGCTTGGGCTGTTCTTAGTTTTGTTCGATTGAGCCTGTGTTTGGACCTGTTGGGACAGCATTGGCCTGGTCCCCATAGGCAAGTTATTTCCCTGCAAAGCCTTTGTTGTCTTCAGTGGGACCCCCTGCCTGGGACCCCCTTCCCTTAAACCTTCTTTCCTAGTTGCTCTGTCTCTCTTTCCACCCAACAGTGCCAACAGGACTAGCAGATGTGTGTGGTGTTGGTATCACAGAAGGACAGATACATGGTAGTGAAGCAGAATAGAACTTTTATTTGTATGCACTCTAAGGGAGGAGGAGGGCCAGAGTCAAGGTAGATAAAAGCAGGTTTACTTGAATAAAGCAGAGAGGAAGGTAAAACAGAGGGAGGGAAGGGAAGCTCATTGAACTCCTGCTTGGCATAGGGCTGATCCCTTGCCAACTCCTAAAGCCAGTGTCACTGGCATCCAGGGTCCACTTGAATCTGCACCATGTGGGAACTGAGTCCCTACGACCCCAGGATTTGGGGGAACCACAAGAGTACTGGATGGAGTGAGATTATGTTCTGAGAACTTCCCAAGGCAAAGAAAAGAGATTTTCAGCAGGCTACTAAGGAGCATGGTCACACAGCTGCAGTCGTGTCTGGGTCACCCAGGCAATGGGAACTTGCAAGCTCAAATCAGAGCTCTCAGGAACTCTCCCTGCTTATCTGGAGTAGAACAGAAAGTGACACACTTGAAGAAAGGTGAGTGTGGGCAACTTCAGAGAGAGATGCACGCACAAGCTGGATTCTGTTTTTAAGGAGTTTCAGGAATGGGATAAAGGTAAAGGTTTGGGGGTGAGGGGTGCAGGTAGGGTGAGGGGGTGTAGGCTTGTCAGGCAGTCTCACGATGTCTACCTCCAGCAAGAGACATTATGTCATTGTCTACAGCTAGTCTTCTAGGTAATTCTGTAGGACAACCTTTTTGTTCCTCTCCAAGCACTGGGAACACGTCAGTTAAGACTGCTTGCCCTGCCTAAGGATAAGTCATTGGCTGATTACCAAAGAATATGTTAAGGATCTAACCCCACAACTCTCTGCTCTTACAAGGTAATCTTAGTCTCAAACACAGGCTAATCTGCACTCATGCACAGGCTAACAAGACGATCCCTTTTCTCCCTGTTCCCACTGTGCTATTGCCATCTCAGCATTTCCTAGGTAAATTGATCATGACACTTGTCCCATGTCTCTGCCCTCTCTCACCTGCATTAGCTAGAGTGTCTCAAGGTCAGCCCAGATTCAGAGCACGTGGATTGAACTCACATTGCAAAACGGCGTGAACTCTTGTGAGTCCTTTCTGGCCCTCTGAGTTCTCCGTGGGCCCCACCCTTTTTCCATCCTGCGCGTATCTTTCTCTCTGCCTAACAACAGGGGCAGGGCGAGTGGCCTTGACAAGCGCCACTACCATGGACTGATGGGGAGGACAGCTCCACTGGAGTCAAGGAAGAGAGAATGGGAAGCCGGCACGGTGCCTGGCGAATCTAGGCAACTCTTCGGAGGACTCCTGATGCAAAGAGGGATTGTGCTACAGCTGGCGCGCCTTGGGGTCTAGAGATGGCACTGGTTTCTGCAGCACGTGTAAGCTCGCCGGGGGAATGGAGGTGAAAAGCCAAGTGGGAACTATTCCAGGAGCGACACCCGGGGCAGGCTGCAGGGGCTCCACCTGACCATCCCCATGTCCCCAGCCCCTGGTCCTCGAGCGCCGGGGCCTCTCGCCGCCGCCCCCACCCACCACGCCCGCGGGTCCGACGACGCGCCTTGGCCCTGCGTGCGGGAACCGCGGCTCCCGGCGGGCGTTGCGCCGGGAGGCCAGTGCGCAGGCGCGCGCCGCCGGCCTCCGCCTTCCCCCGCCGGCCCCACTCCCGGCGGCAGCCACCGACGGCGGGGCCCGACTCCACGGAAAGGAGAAACGGCGGCGGCGCGCGAAGTGGGCCCGACCTCCTGCAGGTCTCCCGGCGTGCGCGCAAGGCGGGGGCGCGCAGGCGCAGTCGGGTGAGGGCGGGAGGGGGCGCGCAGGTAAGGCCGCGGCCGGGCTGGTACGGCGGGCGCCCCGCGCGGCCTGGGGGCGGCCCTGGAGCTGGCCGGTCCCCGCGCTGTGGGGCTCAGCGGGGCGGCCGGGCGGGGCATCCTCCGGTCCCCGGCACACGCCCTGCCGCCCACTGAGCGGGGAGGCCCGTTCGCGCTCGGGATGAAACTCAGCCGCCCGCCTCCCGCCCCCGGGAAGTTTCTGCTGCAGGTCCAGCACCCCTTCCTCCGAGCCCCCTCGACCCGCGCGCAGGCGGCCCCGCGCCTGTCCCCTGCGCCCCAGGCCACGACGCCCGCTCCGCGCCGCGGCTTACGCCCCCTGCACTGGGGCCCGGAGGCAGCGAGGGCTCCGGAAAGGGCTGCGTCCTGACCCACTTCCCGGGGGAAGGGCAGACCCTCGCCGCGGGTGCAGCCCCGGCCCCAGGGCAAGTCGGCCCACTCGCGTGTCTCCGCCGCCTTGCAGGTCTCGGGGTTCATGGCTGCCGCCCAGGCGGACACGTCGCGCAGGCGGCGGGAGAAGCGGCGGCAGCTGGACGCGCGGCGCAGCAAGTGCCGCATCCGCCTGGGCGGCCACATGGAGCAGTGGTGCCTCCTCAAGGAGCGGCTCGGCTTCTCCCTGCACTCGCAGCTCGCCAAGTTCTTGTTGGACCGGTTAGGGCCGGGACGAGGGCTCGGGGAGGGCACCCAGGAGACAGCAGCGGTGCTACCCGCCACCCCTTAGGCGCTTCCTGCTGCTCCAGCCCACTGCAGATTGCTCCTGTCAGCGGGACAGCCTGGGACTGTGACCTCCTCCATTCCTGCCCTTCCTCTCGGTCCCCAGCACATACGGGCCCCTCAGGGCTGGCTCTGGAATGTGTGAGGGCCCAGACCTGACCTGCCTCTTGTCCCCCCGGCAGGTACACTTCTAAAGGCTGTGTGCTCTGTGCAGGTAGGCAGGTAGTGCCTTGGGGTGGGGGCTCAGGACCCAAGAGGGAAGAGGGGCAGTAGGGAGCAGAGTGACCCCAAAACACCCTCCCTACGTGGGTGGAGCACAGGAAACTCTGAGCGAGTTTGGGAAGAGGTGGGGTACTTGGGGAGTCCAGGGTCTTTTGATAGGGGCAGCCTATGTGAAGGGAGCAGTATCTCAGGACCTGTGGGTTCTGGGCTCTGGAGAATGGTAAACTGGACTGGGGACCAGGACTGCTCTGGGGATGAGGGACAGGGCCGTGTGGCAGCAGGGGGTTCCTTGGCTTACACTAACTTTCCCCTTCACCCCTCCAGGTCCCGAACCTTCACCCCCGAAAGGTCTGCAGTATCTGGTGCTTCTGTCTCATACACACAGCCGAGAATGCAGCCTGGTGCCTGGGCTCCGGGGGCCTGGAGGCCAAGATGGGGGGCTTGTGTGGGAGTGCTCAGCAGGCCACACCTTCTCCTGGGGCCCCTCTTCAGGTCCTGCACCTCTGGAGGAGCCCAAGCCAGCCCCGCTTCCAGCTACTGCCCGGAGAAGCTGGTGCCCAGAAGCCAGGAGCAGGCAGGAGCCTGCAGGTAGGCCAGGGAAAGAAGAGTTGTGGATAAATGGGGGCACGGGTGGTGGGGAGAGAGTGCCCATCTCTGTAGCTCAGAACCGCATTTTCTAAAAGTGGTCTTTTCTCAGTGGAAAAGCTCTGTGCTGGCAGGAAAATATGTCTCAAATATATTTTTAAGCTAAAAATGCAAAATACAGAACAGGATGTATGGTAAGTTACCATTGGGGAGAAAATTATTTGTATGTACTTATGAATGTAGAAAGTATCTCTGGAAGGACATGGGAAATGAAGTTGCCTATAGGAAGAACCTGGTGACTAGGGGGCAGTATTAGAAAGGAGACTCCTCACTGTGAACCTTTCTACACTTATTTTAGAACCATGGGAAAGGTTCATCTCTAAAATAAACCCCCTCCCACTCCAGTAGCCCCTGTCCCCTCCCCTCCCCCTTCTTCCTAAGAGCTTTCCCACCGCTGCAGACCTTAGAGCTCGTCTGTCCTCATCCCGCCAGCCCGGAGTTTCTTCCCCTTTGACCCCGCCTGTGCCAACAGGTGTGGAATCTGAGCATGATGAGCAGACTCAGCAGGCCCGGTTGCCCAGGTGAGGGCAGGGGTCGGGGCGCAGGCAGATAGACCTGGGTGGACAGGGTAGGGTGAGGGGACAGGAGCTCAGGCTGGCCTTCCTTGAACCTGCAGGGGGGTGGGACCCCCACCGGAGACCTTGCTGGCCCCAGGAGAAGGGGAGGAGGAAGATGAAGATGGAGAGGAGATGCTCAGTGATGCCAGCCCCTGGACTTACAGCTCCTCCCCAGATGAGCAAGTTGGGGCTGAGGGAGGCTGCTGAGCAGAGCCCAAGGAGGGTGGGGTGGCTGGTCAGGGGACCTAGAGCCTCAGAGAAGCAAGGGGAAGGCAGGGTGGGCTCTGAGGAAGGTGGGAGGAGCTGGAGGCTTTGAGCTGGGTGGAAAGAGCTGAAGTTTGGCCCTGGGGAGAATGGAGGCTGCGGGCAGCTGTGACCGGATATCCTGGGGTCGGGGTAGGGTTGTTCCAAGCTGGGAGTTTGGGAGCTTTGTGATTTAGGGGCTGGGGCTGGCTGAGGGCCCAGGGAGACCATGCCCTCCTTTTTTCAGCAGTGAGCCGGATGTCCCCAGACCACCCCTGTCCTCTGTCCCTCACTCTCTGAAGGAGGGGGAGAGCCCCCCGGTCCCCACAACTGCCCCTACTGCTCTTGCTGCACTGCCCTCAGCAGCAGCCACACTGGGTTCTGGAGCTTCTCTGCCTGCGGAAGTTGGGGTAAAGCTGGAGCTCAGCGGGACCTCTCAAACGGCCCCGCAGACTGAGCCCCTGCCCAGGTAACCTGATGGCTGAGACAGAGGGGAGGGCGTCCTGGGACACGGGCCTCCCTCGAGGCCCTCTGCTCCCTCTTTGCTGCCCATAGCCCTGGGAGTCAGGCCCAGTCTGCTCTGGCCTCGGCCTGGGACGAGGACACCGCACAGATCGGCCCCAAGAGAATTAGGTGGGACGGGCAGGGGCTGTGGGGAGTGGGGAGAGAAGCAGGCAGAGGGGAGCCAGTGGGAGTCCTCACCCTTCTCCCTGTTCTCCTCCCCCAGGAAGGCTGCCAAAAGAGAGCTGCTGCCGTGTGACTTCCCTGGCTGCGGAAGGATCTTCTCCAACCGGCAGTATTTGAATGTGAGGGTGTGATGGGCCCCAGTTGGGTTCGGTGTGGCTCATGGCTGGAGGGGAAGCTGAGGCAAAGGAGCCTGGGGTGTGTGTGGATTCGCACTGGGAAGAGGGGGTTGGGCTGGACATACAGAGCACACTGATACTTAATATACAAGGGCAAATGACTGGTCAGTATGGACAAAAGTGAGTCTCAGGCTCGTGGCTCCTGCCAGTGTGCTCGCTGCACGGGCCCCTGAGGACTACACAGAAATGCCACGGCATTCCTTGGGTCTTGGGGTGTGAGCAAGCAACTCTTCTAAGACCTTGACACAAGTCAAGTCTTTTGATCTCGGCAACAGCCCTGTGGAGTAGTGCTGACACTACCTGTTGTGCACATGCGGGACCCGGGGCACAGAGAGATGGAGCATTGCCCAGGGCTCCTTGGCTAGTGTGTGGCATGCCAGGGTTCCTGGGGCCACACTAGGCTGCCTCTCCCTGCTGACTCGCATGGTGGTCCTAGCACTGGGAGGACGCAGATGGTCCCATCCCAGGCCGCAGCCTCACCGCAGGAGGGGTGCAGCTCAGAGAAGGAAGGCCCCTGCCCCACACTCACCCGCGTGCTCCAGGCCACGACCTGAGGCTGAGGGAGGCTCAGAACACTGGGCTGGCAAGTGCGGGTGAACAGGATCTGGGGGAGGAAGTGGGGGAGTCCCACATTGTGGTGAAGGTTTGGGCTGAGAACACTCAGCAGGGTCAGCTGCACACACTTGAGCCTGTTCATAGAGGGGACCTCAGCAGCCTCCAGCAGCTGTCCAACAGTGGGAAAGTAGAGTTGTGGAGACACGGAAAGCCGGGCAGTTTTATGAGTGAGGATGTGACATGAGGTCAGATACAAGAGAAAATATTTCCTAGAAATATCTAGGGGTTAAGGTTGATGAATATACCGCCCTTGAACGTGTGTCAGGTTGAAAGAGTGTGGACTGCTTCCAGTGAGAGTTTAAGAAATGCAGACAGTGGGTAGCCACGGTGAACTGCGTGTAAGGAGGAGGCAACTGGGTGATACCGTCATACATCAGTACTGATAGGACAGGGTGACATACCCACCGAAACCATGTTCCCATCCCTGGCAGACAGCAAACCCATGGTTAGGGAACTGGGAATGTCCCCAGAACTACTTGGTTCAGGGAGCTGGGCCTTGCACAGCAGGGCTGTGGCAGGAAGGGGAGGTGGTGGAAGCCAAGGGCAGAGGGCTGGGCTGGGGGCTGATGTGTGGGTGAGGGTGGGCCAGGGCGCAGGGTGGAGGGAGGACTGGAGGGCGTGGGGCTCCAAAGGCCCAGCAGGTCGGCTCTGGTGGACCCCCTGAGACCACCTGCCCTTCCCCAGCACCACAAGAAGTACCAGCATATTCACCAGAAGTCCTTCTCCTGCCCGGAGCCAGCCTGCGGGAAGTCCTTCAACTTTAAGAAACACCTGAAGGAGCACGTGAAGCTCCACAGTGGTGAGTGCTGGGAATGGCCTCTCACCTCCCTGTGGCTCCTGTCGCCCACTGTGGGTCTCACCATCTCCCCTGTGGGTGCCTTCATCTCCCTCTTTGGGGCCCCTCCCCTCCCCCTGCAGGACTTCACCCATTCACACACTTGTCCTGCATCCTCTGTGTGTTGAGTCCTGCCTGCGGGAGGCTGTTCTCCTTCCTAGACCACCATGGTAGGGACGGAGGAGAGCAGGAGCCGGGGGATGCTGTTGTGGAAGGGGTTGGTGCTCTGAGCAAAGACCTAAGGGGATGGAGGAATGGAGACCAGTCAGCACTGGACGGCCCTGAGCTGGCATCTGTGTGACATGTTCCAGGAATGGAGAGGAGGCCTGGTGTTAGAAGGGCAGGGAGAGAGGTCAGACGGGTGGTGGGGCCAGCCCTCCTTTCTACATCAGGACAACTAGCTCCTGGCTGGTAAGACAGGCATTTCAGGGTCCTGGACAGTGCCAGGACACGCCTGACTTTACAGCACCATGGCTTCCCTGGGGACAGGACTGCAGGGATGTACTGTGCTCTGCCACGGGGCCTGCACGTGCTTGTGCCGAGCAGTGGGTGGAACTGGCTGGAGACTGCCATGAGTGTGAGCATGGAGCCAGAGGGCTACTGTGGAAGGACAGATTAGCCTTGTGTGGGATGAGCAGGGCACCTTGGATTCCAGCCTGAGCAGCTGAGCAGAAGTGACTTTCTGAAGATGAGGAGGAACAGGCCTTAGGAAGGGAACATTTTATTTGTGACATGCTAATTAGGCATCCCAGATGTGAACCTGGAGTTCAGGAAATGGAAAAAAACAATTGTCATAAGCATGTGGGTGGCATTGGGAGCTGTGGGTGGAGTGAGCTGAAGTGGAGAGGAGGCCTGAGCAGGGTGTTTGTGAGGGCCGCTCCAGGGGCCTGCGAGGCAGGTGAGGATGTGGCATCTGAGGAGCCAAGTGGAGAAGGTGCTCCAGGGAGGAGGGAGGAGTGAGCTGAACCAGTGCTGTGGGGCTGAATGAGGTATGGATGTGGGTAGGCCATCCTTCACCAGCTGTCACGAGGGCATGTGACAAGAGGGGGTGACTGCCAGGAGGGAGATGAAAGGAGGGCATGGCTCAAGGAGGAGAACACGCAGGAACTGGAGACAGGCAGGTCTGGCCAGCTCTTCGGAGTTTGGCTGTGAGGATGAACAGAGAAACGGGTCTTTGCTGGAGGGCTGTGAGCCCAGGGCCCAGAGATAGGAATGACCCACTGAGAGGTTTGGTGGGGCGGGGCTCTCAGGCACAGTTGGAGGGTGGCCACAGAGGAGCAGAGAGGGTTCCCATATGTGGGCACAGAAGCACGTTGCTGGAGCGTTAGGTGGAGTGGAGGATGTGGGCTTCTCTCTTGACTTCTCTCTTCTTGGGGACTCGAAAAACCTGGTCAGAACCAAGTGAGGCTGGTGGGGAGAGGAGGTGGTGTCGAAAACGGCCTTCTGTTCTCTCGAGAGTGGACAGTGAACTGACGAGGCAAATGCAGGGGCATGAGGTCGGGGGGCTTGAGCCTCGTGCTTGTGCAGAGGAAGAGGTTGGATGGTTCTTTCTGACCCCACTTAGCACACAAGCACAGGCCTGGAGTAGGCCAGGGTTGTGTTTGAGTTCGGTTTTAACCAAGCAGGAACAGGTAGGGAGAGAGGGACAGGCGAATCAGTGGTGTGAGTGAACAGAGGTTACAAAGATGTCCTGGAAACAGAGCTGCGGAAGGCGGTACAGCAGGAAGGTGGTGGGCCACTGGGCCAGCAGCTCGAGATTGCTGTAGCAGAACAAGGTAGGAGTCCCTGTCTGGAACTGGGATGCTTGAAATTACAGTTTCACAGTAGTGCGTTGATGCGGCATGACCCAGGAGCACTGGCTTTGAAGGGAGGGTGCCAGGTCCTTTTGAAGATCAGGGAACAGGAGTGCTGGACAGGCTGAAAACAAATGGATAACAGGAGTGGTGACCAAGGACAGAGCCTGGAGCTAGTGTGTTGCGGCCGGGGAGGGACGGGCTGGAGGCTGCCGGCGGGTGTGGGGTCTGACTGCGGGGTGTGCAGAGGTCTGAAGGACTCCATGATGAGCAAGGACAGCCCCTCCTCAGAGGCCGTGAGGCATGGAGGCGTGAGAGAAAAGGCACAGCAGGCTTGTGAGAGCGAAGGACAGGTGCCAGGAGCAGGTGGGGTGGCAGCTGACAGCGCAGGGCCCTGCTGGGCACGCTTGCAGAGTGGGGACAGTACTCCTATGGGGATGGCAGGTGGGGGCGGGCTGAGGAGGGCTGCAGCCTGGGGTGGATGACGGGGCATCTCCTCTGTGCCTGCAGACACCCGAGATTACATCTGTGAGTTCTGTGCCCGGTCCTTCCGCACTAGCAGCAACCTGGTCATCCACCGGCGCATCCACACTGGAGAGAAGCCCCTGCAGTGAGTGTGGGGGCATGGGGGTGGGGAGGGGCATTGGGGCTGGGGAGGGGGTGCGGAGGGGGTGCTGGAGCCAAGGTGGGTGCTGGCCGAACACCAGGGCAGCTGGGGGTAAGAGGAACCTCTGCGGAAGCCAACATGGCTGAAGCCCCTTGGTTTCTTCTGCTGTCCCTGGCTTAGGTGTGAAATCTGTGGGTTCACCTGCCGCCAGAAGGCCTCTCTGAACTGGCACCGGCGCAAGCACGCGGAGACAGCAGCTACCCTGCGCTTCCCCTGTGAGTTCTGCGGCAAGCGCTTTGAGAAGCTGGACAGCGTGGCAGCTCACTGCAGCAAGAGCCACCCAGCCCTGCTCCCAACCCAGGAGTCACCCGGCGCCCTGGAACCCTGTGCTGGCATCTCTGACCCGGTGCCCCGGCCCTCTCTGGTTGTGAGGCTCCAGCACTGCTCCTTCAGTAGTGAGCATTCCCAGGGCTTGGGGGAGCCAGACCCTAAGAACTGAAAAGGAGCAAGCAGGAAAAGGGCCATAGGCCTGGTCCTCAGGAACCAGGGTGACTCAGGGAGCACAGGGTGGGCAAGACTGGGCTCTAGGGGAGCAACTTTAGGCGCCAAAAGGACAGAATAAACCCAGCATTTTACATGGACATGTGTGGGCAGAGTGTTTCGGCATCCGAGGTACAGGAAACCCAACGCCTCTGGAAGCATGCTCTGCTGGATTGCGCCTGGCGCGCTGTGGGATCCAGTTTGCTTCCCCAGTGACCCTCTGTGACCTTCCCTGTGCAGTGTCACACCTACTCCTATACTTGGGCAGGCAGGCCTGTGCTATTACAGAGAGCACTGGGTTGTTCCAGAGGAGAAGGCTGGAGCAGAGGTAGAGGCGTGCAGTCTTGGGCCACGTGTATACTGTCAGCCGAGAGAACCAGATGTGTAGGCCTCTGAAGTCTCACCTTTCAGCACAAAATGGAGGAGGCTGTACATGCAAGAGGGCTGGGCTACTGTGCGAAGACGAAAGACCTTGGAGTGTCCAAAGGGCTGACTGGACCATTCCTGGTCTGGAAAGGAATCAGCCTCAGGTTTAACAAAGGGGGCCTTGGTTTCTGGGGCTCAAACAAACTCTTTATTTCACAAGCCATAAGCCAAAAATCACTGGCCAGTTCCAGGGGATTTGCACACCCTGTCCTGTTGCCTATGGAGCGGCGTTTCCCCAAGGCTCCAAGCTCCATTTGGAAGTACCATGCTGATGCTCGTTTGGCAGTGCCCAGCTTTGTGGATCCACATGGTCTTGGCCCAGGTCTGGGGGCTGATGTCCCCCACCTGGCTGGAACACGAGTCTGAGAAGGCACCTTGATCTGGACACCACAAGACCTGGCCTATGGTGTGAGTGCATGGCCATGCTGATGGCTCCTGCCCTCTTTCACATGGAGGCGTCTCTGCAGGCAGCAGGCCAGCAGTTCCTGGCCTGGAGACCTGGTTGCCGCAGTAAGCACCCCATCATCTTTCTGGCTGCCCATTTCCCATCTTTCAGAAGCCCAGGGAGACAGCAGCAGAGACCAAGTCAGTGGGGCTGGGAAGCAAGACCATAGGGCAAATGGGATGTGACTGTAGCCATGTCTGCTTGCTACCAGAAAGGCAGGATTGCAGAGCACCCAGTGAGAGGTAGAGTGACCCAGGCTGGAAGAAGGAGATCTCAGCCGAGAAAACAACACAGGCGGGAGAAAAGGAAAGACACACCTGAGCACGAAGTGGCAGCCATGCGGCACCAGGACCTGGGCGCTCTTCCACACCTGGAGTGAGGAAGGTTTTCCTGAGGCCCTGGAGTACACCACAAGGGCCAAGGACAGGAAGGGTCAGTAAGGGAAGTAGGTATAGGGATGTGGCAGGTGGCTGGGTCAAGGCTACCCACAGGTACGCAGGAAGGCTACGGATCACTTCGTTTTAAAGCAGGCTGCCGTCTACGGTCGCTGCGGCAGGATATCGGTGGTTGCATAGCCCTTAGCAGAGAAGCCTCTCAGCAAGTCTCCTTAGACGGGACACAAAGCCCCGGCTTTTCCTACTCAGCCTGCCCAGCAAATAGAGCAGCACTTGCAGCGGCCTGGGTGGTGGCAGCTCGGGCACGCGTGTGTGCCCGCTGGTGCTGCGACAGCGAGCGGCTGTGGCTGAAGCATTTACCACACTCTGCGCACTGCACTGGCCGTTCGCCCAGGTGCGTCTTGCGGTGCAGCGCCAGCTTGGAGCCCACGCTGAAGGCCTTGCCACACTCGGGGCACTTGTGGGGCTTGTGGCCGGCGTGATTGCGCCGGTGTACATTGAGGTTGGACACGCACGTGAAGCGCTTGCCACACAACTCGCAGCGGTAGGGCTTCTCGCCCGTGTGCGTGCGCCGGTGCTTGGTGAGGTCCGAGCGATCGCTGAAGCGACGGCCACACTCCGGACACGGGAAGGGCTTCTCGCCCGTGTGGATGCGCTGGTGCACCACCAGGTCGGACCGCTGCCCAAAACGCTTGCCGCAGGTGGCACATGCGTGCGGCCGCTCGCCCTGGTGGCTGCGGCGGTGGCGCAGCAGTGTGGAGCTCTCGCTGAAGCTGCGTCCGCAGTCGCCACAGGCGTAGGGTTTCTCACCGGTGTGCGTGCGCTGATGGCGCACCAGCGTGGCACTCTCCAAGAAGCCTTTACCGCACTCGGGGCACTTGAAGGGCTTCTCGCCCGAATGCGTCTGCAGGTGTCGCCTGAGTGCGGAGCTCTTGCTGAAGCTCTTGCCACACTCCCCGCACTGGTGCACAGCAGGGGCGCGTGGCTGCGGGGCTATGCGGTTGCCGAGGCTCGGAGCCACGTGGACGCGCGCATGGCTCCGCAGCCCCGCGCTGCTGCTGAAGGCCCGCGGGCACCGCGCACATCGCAGGAGCAGGTCGGCGGGCGGGGCGTGTATCCTGCAGCCATGAGCCCGCGCCTGGTGGAAGCGCAGCGCGCTCTGGCGGAAGGCGCGGGTGCACAGCGGGCAGCGACGGGGCAGCTCTGGCGGGTGCCGGCGGCGCCGGTGCAGCTGCAGAGCTGGGAGGTGTGGGAAGCGGCGGCCGCAGGTGCGGCAAGGGCAGGAGCAGCTGCGCCGCCTGTGCGCGCTCTGGTGCAGGTCCAGGCGGCCGCTGTGGCGAAAGCTCTGGCCGCACTCGCTGCAAATGTAGAGCGTCTGGCCTGCGTGAGCGCGCCGATGCGCGCGGAGGTCGGCGGCCAGCGCACAGCGCTCGCCGCAGTCGAGGCAGCGGAAGCAGCCGCCGTGGGCGCGCTCATGCCGCAGCAGCACCGAGCTGTAGCGGAAGCTCTTGCCACACTCACTGCAGGCATAAGGCCTGCCTGCGGCCGCCGCCTCTACCGTGGCCAACATAGGGAGGGCCAGGCTGACGCCCGATGGCGGCGCACCTCCTCGAACTGCGAGCTGTTTTCAGATCTAGGGCCTCGGAAGGGACAGGTAGCAGAAGCGCAGAGGTGCGGAGAGCTGGCGCGGATGCCAGGGCTGTAGTTCTCATTGGCAGAGGCTACGGCCGTTTCGTAGGTACGTGTCAGCCAGGTCTGCCCTGCACCATGAGCCCTGCGATGAGAAGGTCAGGGTCAGCCCCACGGAGGCAGCTGGGGATGGTGGGACAAGCAGGCTCCCCATTTCCTGCAACTTCCTCAGCTAGGCCATCTCACAGACTCGGTTCTCTGCGAAGAAAATCCTTGGGCGGCCTAGGGTATGGGACCGGCCCACCAGCAAGGGGAGGAGCTCCTTGGGGAGTTTGCCTCCAACACGTACTTGGCAGCGAGGCGTGCCCAGCCCTTTTCCTCACATTTGGCTGGGGGTCTTGGCCCTGAGACGCACTAAGAAACCAAGGAGGGATGCTCAGTGAGGAGGCCCTCCTGAGAGCTGGGTTTCCAGAGTCACTGACGTGAACCCAGCCAGCCTGCACTGGAGAGACGAGGAGGGCAATGAAATGCAGCATAAAGCAGTCCAGAGCAGCAGCCTGGGAAAGGGAAGGTATCTGAGAAAACCCAAAGGACTGTTCCTTGGCTTGAATGGTACCAGGTAAACAACTGCTCTATACCAGAGCACAGCCTAGAGAAGGTGACCCAGGACCTGGGAAAGCGGTGAGAGGGAACACAGGAATTCACAAAGAGTATTGTTAAAAGTTGGGAAGTGCTTTTCACATTTTCGGGGAAGACGGGAGAAGGAAAGGGCACCCTAATTCTCAGGGCATCCACGTTGTTTGCAAACATTCTGTCGACCCCACTGCCTTAGCTCCAGGGGTCTGAGAACCTGGAATAGCAGCAAAGCCCCTTTATGGGATAAAACCTGCTCTGCTATCTTCTTTACCTCAATGGTATCCCAGAATCCTGATGAGTTGGTCTGGGCAGCTGTCTGGGAACAGGGTCTGCCTTTGCGCACACAGCACAAACAGGGCTGCCCTCCCTGCCTCCCTCACAGCCCATGGATCTGTCCCCATCTGTCCAGTGGGACACTGAAGATGAGGTGTGGTCACAATCAGCTATAGGCTGTCGACACAGATGAGGGGCAGGATGCAGACAAAATGGCCAGCAGTCATTTTCTCATCAGCAGACAGAAACTCAACCTAAATACCCGGACCTTGGGCTGAAACACCCCAGACTGGTCCACTGAAAACAGCCTGGGAAGCCACAAACCTGCAGGGGTGGGCTCGGCGGGTCTGCTCCCTTCTGCTGCCCTGGGCAAGAGTGGCCAATGTGGGAGGTCCTCCCATACCTCTGGAGCAAGATGTGCTATGCCCTGCAGGGAGGAAGCGGAAGGGACAACATGAATTTTGACTGAGCAGGGGTCAGATGCAGGAGAAAGAAGAGGGAAGTATTTCCTAGAGGAGGGTGTTTTTAATGGACATCTTCAAATATAAAAAACTAAGAAGAGGATCACCACTCACTTACCTTCAGCCTCTGTCTGCATTTTGCTATTGTGTTTCATCTAGGACATTCCCCCTACCCCACACACTTTATTCCTCTGTCTGGAGTATTTTAAATCCCAGACATCTTATTCAAAGAGGATTTAAACAAAATCCACAAGCAGAGTCAGGAGTCCTGCAGACTCAAGAGCCAACCTTAGGGGAGGAAGTCTCTTGGTTCTTCCAAAGGGAATTTTTAGCCTAGACACTTGGGCTACTGATTCTACTGGTCATCAATTCAAGGGAATGTTTGCCCTCATGGGAATAAAACCTTCCTTCAGGACTCAATGGTTGATCTGAAATGCCAAAGAGAGCAGTGCTCATACCCCAGTGAGTATTCCACCTTACTTGGGGGACTCTGGGGACCGTGGCATCTCTGAGGCAAAGTATCTGGGAACCCACCCTCTGCCAGGCTACTGCCCCCCAGGGCACAGGTCCAAGGATGGTCAACAAGTGCACAAACATGCACATGTCAATGGCATATGTGCAAAGAGAACATTTCCCCCCATTACAGGTGTGGAGGGCGGGAAACCCTGGTCTAGGGTGCGGGTTTGTGCCTGACTGCAGGGAATACCCTTCAAGTCTTTCTTCTGGGCCTCACCCCATGTCGGAGCTTGCTCTGGAAGCAAAGGACTCTATCCCTGGGAGAAAACCTGGAAGAAAAAATAAAATGTCACTGTGCCAAAAACAGAATGACTTCTAGAAGTCATTCTAACCTCCACTTTCCTGATGGAAGTTTTGAAGTTGGTATACCACCAAATTTGTTGTACCTTGGAAAATAAGTACAAGGTATGCTTGGAAAGAGGGAAGGAGGGTAATTATGTATGAACTGGTGAAAAGTCCTAACGGTTCAATACTTTAAAATACTTCAGTACTTTCAAGCATTTAATGCTCATGAGTATTAACAAATACTATACATACAACTAATACAAACAGGTACTAAGAAGTAAGATAACTGAGCAAATTAACATTTGCAATAGATTAAAAATCAGCTTTTAAAAAGGGTTTGTATATCACTTTGTTTCCTAATAAATATTGCAGGTATTTCATACCATATCTAACCGATCACATGTTACAAGCGTATTACAATTACTCAGGATTTAGTACATTTACTAACAGTCTACTGCAAGAGCAGTTTAGTTGTTTTTCTTCTGAGTTGTGTCTTTCAATCAGTATAAAGTTTTTCTTCCTGGCTGTCTGCAAGGCCAGCACGTCTGGGGCAGGATGAAGGGGCAATTCCTGCATCTGGAAGCCAGGGTTGGGTAAACAGGTCTGAGTCAAAGGGGTGGGGCTGAGGGCTGTCCCATCTGTGCTGTTCACTACAGCAACCATAAGCTGCGTGTGGCAATTGAGCACTTGAAACGTGGTTGGTCCAAATTGAGATGTGCAGTAAGGGTCAAATACACTCCTGATTTCAAAGAGTCAGTATGAAAGAAGAAAGCAAAATAGCTCATTAATAATGACAAGTGTTAATTACATGTTGAGATGATAATTGGATATATTGGGTTAAATGAAATATATTGTTAAAATTAATTTCACCTATTTTTAAGAAAAGTGAAGATTACAATGTGGCTCACATTTTATTTCTATTGGACAGTACCTGTTTGAATGGCCTTTCCAAACCCTGGAACAATATGCAAACGGAGGCTGGCCCACCTCACAGTTTGTAGGAGATTTGCCTAGAAGAGGTCACTGATTGGCCTGACTCTCAGGACTTCAGTAACCATGGAAGAGGGCCATTTCTCCAGTCTCCTGAAAGCCCAGCCCTGATCACACCTCCCGGAGGCATCTGCCTGCTCTTCTAGGAGAGTGGCTGTCTACTGCCCTCTAAGATCTGGCTGGGCTTTGGGGCTGTGACTCATGGGGTGTGTCTCACTGCTACTCTCCCAGTTGTCCCGAGCATCAACACATGACAACTCATGTGTTTGGCTGTATGTCCCCCTTTCATCCTTGAGGCGTCCTTTGAGGGGGGTACTAGGGCTCATTCCACATGACCTGAGGTTCCCATGGAGCTTGTCCAGAGCCACATAGGACGAGTGCTGTAGGGGGTCAGCAGGCCAGGTGGACATCTCTAGCTGTCCTTCTCAACCCCCAAATCTTCCTGGCCCTAGCTGGAAGCTACTCAGAGAAGCCCTGGACAGCCCCAGGGACAACCACATGGGGAGGGGGCTCCATCTATGTGTGTGTTGACCCTTTACCTCACTGGCAGGGGAAGGGAACTGTCTGCATTAGAAGTGAGCTGGGAGCAGTAGCTACATTTGGGAGAGGAGATTTTTCTGCTGGTCTCTCTCTGCATGCTTACCCTGTACCCCAGCCTAAGGACTGTGTCTCCAGGACCCTGAGATACCCCTAGATGATGCTGGAACTTATATCCAGACAGAAGCAAATTGTCTACTCGTTCTGTGGGGGTAGAGGAGTCAGGTGGATGGAAACATCTACCCGGCTTGCTGAAGCCTTTGCAACTGCAGGTCCTTCCACCTGGGGAGCTTCTCCTCCTCACACCTTCATGCAGGGCCTTCCTCGGAAACTCCAGGGAGTATCCTCACTTCTCCCATCCCCATCCCCTTATTCAGCTTTAACCTTAATAATCAGTGAGAGCGAGAGGACACAGGGATTCCCAACCACTCTGGAAAGCTTTCAGCCCCATTTCTAGGTGAGGATGGGGTGTGGAATTCCAGGCCCCAGAAGGGCCACTCCTCGAACCCTCCATGACAGGAACAAGGTCCAGTACTTCAGAAGTTACCCCTTGCTGCTTCATACCTGATGTGACATGTTTAACGAGCTGATGGAAATAGGAAAACACATCTCATGTGCCCAAGCCTGACTGTGATCCAAATATATTCTTTTCAAAGTTTTGCTTTCACAAAGATTTTCCTGTAAAATCTGGGAAGTTTGGAGAAGGTATGAATGTTGGCAGGAAAAGAACATACGTAGTAAGATAACTTATTCTCTATGTACCGTTGATACAGGGGCAAAACTGCAACCCAGAGCCTCCCACAACTGGGATATTGGAAGGGACTATATGGTGATTTGCACCCTCCTGTGGACCTAACATGATGCTGGGCACTCAGTGCTTTTTGAAAATGATGTATTTAGCCAGGAATACAATTCTCTCACATGTCAGGCTCCTGGTAGACAGGGCCTCTCTATAGTCACCTTAACTTCCATGGCCTTACCCACTGCATGTATGCTCCCTTTGGGTAACTGAGTCAGGACTCCAACCTGTGAAGGGAAACCAGAAGGGCAAGTGTCCAAATCTGATTCTTCCATTACTAGCTGTATGACCTTGGCAGGGGGGCTTCAGGTGTCTGACGCACCGGCCTGTGAAAACTCAGTAAAGGAGATACAAAGTTTCGTATGAAAAGAGGGTAGGTTAAAATATATGTGTAAGTCTGAACTACTAAAAACTACCAAATGCCCGTTGCCGAGTTTTCAGTATTTACTCTCCTCAGGACCGTTCTTCCAAAGAGGGGCCCTGAATAAGGGGTCGGACACCTACCTCCATCCCAAGCATCCTAAAGGGTCTACAAGACCTGCGAAATCCTCCCCCAACCCCCGAAGAACCCTTTCCACACGGTTAGGGCAGCGTGGGCCTTCCGGGAGCTGAGGGCTGCTCCCGTTAACCTTGGTGCCTGGTACGTAACGGGACGTGAGCGCCGCACCTGAGCAGGTCGCTCCGCAGACGCCCCGGACGCCCCGCCGCGCAGCCAATCCCGGCCGCCAGTCCGCGTTCGTCACCAGTTTCTGGGCATATTCTGCCAGGGTAAACTTCCCCGCTCTGGGCCCATCCGGCTCCTTGCCCGGGGCGCCTGCCCACCCGGTGGCGAGACAGGGAACCGAAAACGCAGTGGGGCGCGGGGGGCGTCGCGCGCGGCAGAGCCAGGCGGCTGCTGCTGCCTGCGCCCTGGGGCCGCCAATACGAAGGTCATCGGGATCCGATGGACGAGGACGAGCGGAGGGCAAGGCCTAGGAGGAGCAGGCCGCGCGGCGTGGGGGGCGGCGGCCAATCGCCCGCCCCGCCGCGCCTTCGCGTCACCTGTTGCCGGGGCGGCGCTCCGACCCGCGGCAGACGGAGACGCCCGGAGCAAGCGGAGAGAGGCGACAGTTGGGGATACTGACCCGCGCCCACCCGGCCTCCCGGCCCTCGGCCCCTCACCGGCCGCTGACGGGCTCCTCGGACGCGGGGCGGCTCCCTTTCGGCGGGCTTCCGCCCCGCCTCCCGGGCTGCGGGGCTGCGGGGCTGCGGCTGAGAGGAAGGGCTGCCAGAGCGCGGCCCACAGCGGGGCAGCGGGGGAAGCGACTTGGGCGGGGGTCACGCTCCGGCCGCGCTCCGCGGCTTTGCCAGTGGCCGGCCTCGCGCGTGCGCGTCACCGGTTGCTGGGAAGAGTAGGAGGCGCAGGGATGCTGACCCGCCGCCGCACCCTCGCGGCCGGGATCCCGGTGCGGGGGCGGGACTAACGGTGGGCCTGGGACGCTCGGGCCCCGCCTCCTCCGCGCCAATTCCCGCCCCCTCTCCAGGGGTAACCAGTCCTGTCTCTCCCTTGGTTGTCACACCGCCCCGGGCCTCGAAGCCCCAATCAGAGCATAGGGCGCTGAGCCCGGCGCTCCGCCTCCTGCCCCTGCGGGCGGCTCCCGGGCCAGAGGCTCGGCGGCCCGCGAGCGTCTCGGTTTGCTCTCTGCTGTCCCCGCGGGGCCGCCGTCGCGTGGCGGGGCACTCAGGCCGACTGGCCAGCTGCCTCTGTGCAGCTCGCTGCCGAGCTGCCTGTCTTAATGCTGAGACTCCAGTGTCTTACTTGAAGAGGTGCGGCAACTGTGCAACTGTGCTCCAGAGCTGCGGTTGGGAGCGGGACAGTCCCCACCGCAGGGCTGCCTGTCATCAGCACAGGCTCCGCAGGATGGTGCTCAGGACCCCTCTTTACTTGCCCTAACCTTCCGAGGTCGCTTAGTGCTTCTCACTCCGCTGCATATCCAGAGCTTCCGCCCCTCTGCTCTGCCCAGGGGTCCCTAAATCAGTGTACACTGAGGCCCCTCGTGCCCTTCCACCCAGCACAGCCTGGAACGCTCTTCTGCTCTGCTTTTAACGCCACCCATTCTTAAAGGTTTAGTCAAACGCCATCTCCATAAACCTATGCCCGAATGCCCTTCTCCATCCTTAGTCCTGGGTGTGCATCAGTGCTGCATGCAAACCTCTACACGTTGAGAGTGTGATGAAGGCTGTCGTCCCCATAATTAAGGGACAGACCTTTTCCTCATAAGCAATGTCCTGAAGTGCCCGCACATCACAGATGCTCAGGGAGTGTTTGCTGGCCCGCGATGATAACACGGTGCAAAGAATAGCAGTAGGAGACACAGGACGCAGGGCCGGGGTGATGAGGGCCTGAACTAGGAAGGATGGAGGTGGGAAACAGAAAAGGGAAATCTGCCTGAAGTAAGGTACCAGACGTAGATAAGGTATTACATAGAGAATGACTGCTTATAAATTCAGAGCCTCTCAAGCCAGAGAAATGGACTAATCAGGACATTTCTAGACTGGTTCTTCAGGATTGACATCCTTTGTTTAAGGTATACTGACACACTTGGCCTATTCTAGAGGAGAACTAGGATGGTGATAAATACATTACATCATTGATACTAAACGGTTGTTTTCCCTACAAATCTTAATCAATAAAAGCCACACTCACGAGTTTGGGCTTCTCTCAGTGGGCAAAAGCCATGGTACATCAGGATTTGCAAAGACTAGGAAGTCAGAGGTGAAAAAGTGAAGCTATGAGAGTGGGTGACATTTCCCAGAGGTGCTATAGGAGGAAGGGATGGGAGCTGAGGCTCGAACCCTCAAGTACCAGTCTCCAAAAGGAGGCAGTTGCAGAAGGGACAACCAGTGAAGGCGCTGAGGAGGAGGAGGGTCAGGTTATGGGTCCCAGGTGAGGAAGTGATGATCATTTCCCAGTGCTGTAGTTACTCAAATAACATCACAGTAGCATCAGTCCACTGGGTGTGACCAGAGGGCACTGTCGGTGGTTCAAGAAGACAGGGAAAGAAAAGAGCACAAATAAAGAATATTTATTGGTCATGGGCATGCAGAACAAGCACAGAGTACATGCTTCACACTGCAGCTGGGAGGCAACTGAAAGGTAAACAAGCAGAACCAAAGGTGGAGCACTCTTTCAGATCTCTTGTTTGGAATGTGAGCCCAGTGGGTATTCAAATGTCTAAAATCAGATTTGGAAGGCTGGTTGTGTCACCAGTGATTTAAAGGTAGAGAACACTGTCTCAATTTCATTTAGTTCCTATATTACTAAATATGTTTTCATTCTTCAAGTATTCCAGTTTCAGTCACATATACAATAAAAACACTGGCTTGTAGAACATGGGAGCATCCAGGTCTTCCCCACCCAAACAGCTCCACAGATGTCAACTCACACAATTTTCCAAGTACAGAAAAGTGAAATCTATCTAGAATAGTGAGACCAGGAAAGATGGATCAATGTAATGAAATCCTGAATTGCAGATTTTTTTAAGCAATGAGGATTATTATTCAAGTTGCAAACATATCGTAAAGTCAGGTGAAAATGGATTTCAGGAAATGAAGGAGGAACACAACGGAAAACTTACCAATTACACCAATAACATATACTAATTTTAATGATGTAACACATGATTAAATGTCTTTTAAGCTAATTTAAACATCATCTTAATAGAAAATGGTGGCTGTGCCAGTTACAGTCTGCAGTGAACATCAAGGTCTCAGGCAACCATTCCCATCTGAGATACTGCTACTTGTTTTTACATTTATGGAGGTAAACTAACGGTGAAAAACTTAATAAACTAGATATAGATCAACTGAATAAACTTGCAATGGCACAAAAATACAATATTTGTTGAGAGAACATTTAAAGATCAACTTTCTTTAAAATAGAGGCTTCTTCCTAGTATTTAATGATGTCTTAGTCCTTAATGATGAAATTCCTTAGTCTTCAATAATAACAGTTTTTAAAGTTATGCTATTTTTAAAAAGTTGTGTTCAAAAATCCTATCCAGGAATCAGTGGTTCACAAAATAAGATCTAGAAAATGGGCTTAAAATTATGAAGCAGAACTTTCAGGGGAAAATCAGTTTCAAAGTGAAAATAGAAAGTAAGGATTAAACCAGCTTTTATGACTGAAACCATTTTAAAGGCTAAGGAGAGCAATAGTAAATAATACTACTATCACATGAAAACTTGCAGCATCTTGAATAAATATTTTGATCTTGGTTATTTTCACAGATGGGGCAATTTAAAATTTAAGTAGATGCATTTAAACTTAACATATGATGTGTTGTCAAAAAGATTTTAAATACCCTTACTTTTCCTTATAAAACTTAATTGAGGTACTATGTTACTGTGCCTAAGGGCCTGGATTGTCTGTGTTCAGAGACTGGCACTGCCATGTACCAGCAGTGTGACCTTGAGAGAGTTATTTAACCTCGAGTCCCTCAGTTTCTTCAATTGTAAAATGCAAATATGACCAATCTCCTTTGTTTGTCGTGAGCATCAAATGAATAGATACAAACCACTCAGAACAGAGCCTGGCACAGGTGAACACTGCATAACTGTTTGCTGTTTTTATTATTAAATGAGCTGACCAGCTCAGGGGAAAATAATTCACTTCTGGAAAACCCAGCAGATTTAACAAGGGTATAAATAATTCAGGGATTTTAGTAATATAGGCTGTCCCTCTTATTAACATTTTTAGTAGATTTTACATGATCTTTTCTGAGAGAAACTTTTCAACCAAATTTTTTTAAAAACAGCTACACTGACATACAAAATCTCACACACTGAATGTACAGTTTGAATAGTTCTGACATCTGTATATACAAATCAACCCTTCACTACAGGCAAGACGAGAGCACAACCACTGCCTGCAAGTTTCTGTGCCACTGTCGTTCCTCCCACCTCCCCCCTAGGCAGGCACTGAGCTGCTCTCACTACACATCAGTAACTAATATGTTTAATTAGCAGTTGATGGTGGTATTTACTAAGTATTCAGCTGATGGGAGGAAAAAAATCAACACGGAAAGGTAGTGTCTACTGGTAGAAAAAAAACAAACTAAAAGAAGCAGTTTTTAAAGATGAAGGTAATTAAGAGTATTTGTGTGAGGGAATTAAAAATAAAAGTTACCAATACAAATTTATGAGAAAATTTCATTTCACTGAGAACTTGTACACTACTGAGCAATTGATGACATTATGAACGTCATTCTCTGGCTTATGTTCTTTTTATTTTTTATTTTATTTTTATTTATTTATTTATTTATTTATTTATTTATTTATTTATTTATTTTTGAGAGGGCATCTCTCATATTTATTGATCTAATGGTTGTTAACAACAATAAAATTCTGTATAGGGGGGTCAATGCTCAGTGCACAATCATTAATCCATCTCAAGCCTAATTCTCGTCAGTCTCCAATCTTCTGAAGCATAACAAACAAGTTCTTACATGGTGAACGAATTCTTACATAGTGAATAAATTCTTACATGGTGAACAGTACAAGGGCATTCATCACAGAAACTTTCGGTTTTGATCATGCATTATGAATTATAAGCAATCAGGTCAAATATGAATATTCGTTTGATTTTTATACTTGATTTATATGTGGATCCCACATTTCTCCCTTTATTATTATTATTTTTTTTTTATTTTTAATAAAATGCTGAAGTGGTAGGAAGATGCAAGATAAAGGTAGAAAACATAGTTTAGTGTTGTAAGAGAGCAATTGTAGATGATCAGGTGTGTGCCTGTAGACTATGTGTTAATCCGAGCTAGACAAGGGCCTTAAAACATCCACGGATGCAGAAGATTTCTTTCAAAACAGGGGGGGGGGGGGGTGAGGTTCTAAGCCTCACCACTGTTGATCCCCAATTTCTCACCTGATGGCCCCCCTGCGACTGCGCCTGTCTTAGGTTGTTCCTCCCTTGAGGAATCTTACCCGTCTCTGGCTAACCAGTCATCTTCCGGAGCCATACAGGGAGATGTAAAGTTGGTAAGTGAGAGAGAATCTGGCTTATGTTTTTATGTCTCATACATTAGCTTAGCCAGCAGGGTTCGGCTGGTTGGCGGTTTGTGCTGGGGGACTGGAAGTGGGTACCTGTGCTAATACAGTAGACCTGTGTTGTCTAATACAGTAGATACATAGCTAAACTTAAATAAATAATTTAGTTCACAGTGCAAATTAAAAATTTAGTTCACAGTGTGCAACAGCCACATTTTATGTTCTCCAGAGGCCCAAACATGGCTAGTGACTACCATATTGGACAATGCAGATATAGAAGTTTCTATAGCGGCTGAAAGTTCTACCAGAGAGAGCTGATTTTTAAAAGACTCTTGAGGCGCATTATCTATAGTGGAGGTGAGAAGTCTAAGCTGAAGCACTGACAAGGAAATGTAGAGGAGGGATCTCTCTGAGATATTTAATGTGACACAGAGTGATGATAGG